AACGGATGATAAGTTCGGTGAGAAGAATCCTATTGGCTGTATGCAACCAACAGTCCATCGACGATCAGACCCTGAACAGAGCCCTAATCGAGGTGGAGCGCATATTGAACAATAGGTCATTGACATCAGTTGTGACTGAAGCCCTGGGTTTCGCGCTTACGCCGAACGACTTTGTGCTTTTGAGACCCAATCGCGGACTGGCGGTACCACGAAATATCACGAAATATATTACTCGAGCTATTGGAGGCAGGCCACCCAACCAGCGGAAGTTTTCTGGAAGCGCTGGGTCCGAGAGTACTTACCTACCCTACAGACACGCCAGAAATGGATACTCAGGAAAAGAAACGTTCGAGTTGGTGACATAGTACTGCTTGCAGATGAACGATTGCGGCGAGATGAATGGCCCCTAGCGATCATCAGAGAATGCTTCTAGCACGAGGACGGGCCCGTACGCACGGTTAAAGTAGAAACGGCAGCCGGCGAAACCCTGCGACATATCCGCCGAGTCTGCTGCTTAGACGGAACACAATTCTGGGCAAAGAGCAGTTTCTTGCACGGAGTTTCAGAATCGCTTGGAGGCACCCCCAAAAGGATGCACTTCATGACCTCTCCCAATGGTCCTATGTCCTCCAAGCTTGACATTGGGGGACCAGTGCTCAGCGGACTAGGCCGCCTGCCTAGGCCAACACACTTGATGTGCATGTCGAAGCGCAAACTACTTACGGTCACAATCCTCACCGAATCCATGGCTCAAGAGACCCTTGAGAAATGGCATTCTCTGAGAAAAACGTTCCCCTCAGGCCTGCATCTTCATCAGTTTAAACCAAGGAGCGACCGCCAAGAGACCAGACGTGCAAGTGCACTCACGGACGCACATCAGTCCTGCGTCTGACCACTGCGTCAGGTAGCACGGTCCATAGCAGCGTTCCCATTTCCGGAGAAAAAACTTAACAATGCCAGCTCAAGCAGAGCTGGCAGTCTAAACCAAGTTAGCACACATTGCGCACCCAGCTCCTAGTTAGAAACCCCTACACAGCCATTGACGTCAACACAAACTCGGGCAACGGCGAGCAGCCTCTCCGATTTGTCTGCCCGTAGCAAGTATCAACATGATAGTAGAGTCACGGGGCTGTTGGCTGCACCAACAGCCAAAGCCTATTAAACTAGCTCCGTGAGCTCCGTCTCCAAGTCGACCAACACCGGCCACCACTGGTCGGTATAACGGAGACCTGGGCTCATTCGGGGATATCCGACGCCGAACTGGAAATTACCGAGCTAGAAATCCTGCGACAGGATAGAACAGACAGCATAAGTGGAGGGTGTGCCCTTTACATCAGCAGGAAACTAAGGTCTGTGAGGATCATGGATCCTGTACTAGAAAGAGTACCAGAGAGCGTCTGGGCAGCCATAAAACTGAACGGAAAAAGGCAACGCCTGGCAGGTGTTTTCTATATGGTCATCGAATTGCTCACAGTCGACGAACTCTGCGATTATTGACGCACCAAAGCACGTCGTGAGGTTGAAGTATCACCACGTTCTGATAATGGGGGATTTCAATTTCCCGGAGATCTGCTTTGGTACGTTGACCTGCCATGCGGGACCTGGATCCATAACCTCAGTCTTCTTTGACATGTGATAGACTTAGGGTGGCACAAGCACGTCCGGCAAGCAACCCGGTGGCGAGGGAACTCAAGACCCTTAGCGCTAGATTTGGTTATTACCAACGAACCCCATATGGTTGACCAACTAGAGGCTTCTACACCACTGGGACTCGGCGACCATGGTGTCACACGATTCACATTCCTACATACCACTGAACTGATACGGTCGACAGGGTTCACTCGCTGGAACCTACTTAAGGTTGACATTCCTGGCAGGCGAGCCTTCCTGGAGTCCGCCCCATGGCCCCTTAACCCGTCTTGCTCCAAAGATCATTGGAGCGAAATGAGGGAATCCTCATCGAGGCCATTCGTAGATTTGTACCACGAACACAGGTTCGACCATTCAAATCGAAAAAAGCGATTGCTTTGCCGTACAATTAAGACCTTGGCACGGAAAAGACGCACGCGAAAACAATACCAATGGTCCCAGAGCTCCCAGGATTACAAGGCCTATGTTGCATTACGCAATCAACGTAACCTACAAAGAAAGCAAGACACCATTGAGCACCAGAGGCAGTTCTTAAACCGGGTCATTGCGAACCCGAGGTGTTTATATAGAGATATCTCCTGGTGACCCAGGCGAAACCCGAGATCACAGACATCCGTCGTGCGGATGGATCCCTTGCAGATGGCAACCAGACTGCTGCTAACACCCTGGCGGAGTTCTACTACACGGCATTCAGCCCTGAACTTGTTAGTCAGACAGACGAAAGCGGTCTCCCTGCAGTAGGCTCCATACCCAGTAGGAACCTGGAAATTGTGTCGTTCGCCACTGTACAGGTCGAACTAAAACTGGCAAGTCTTGCAGCTAAAAAATCACCGGGAATTAATGAGNTACCACCCATACTACTGCAGCAGTGCTTAGAGCAGTTAGCACAACCCCTAAGCAGACTGTTCAATCACCCTATGAGAGTTGGTGTGGTCCCGGAAGAGTGGAAGACACGCGTGGTCTCCGATATTCAAGTCGGGGCACCGTACCTTACCAAGCAACTACTGTCACGTAGCCCTGCTCTCGGTGGTCTCAAAGGTAATGGAGGTACTCATTGACGACAAAATCAAACTAGTTTGTCGAGTAGGATTGTTGCTTGCACGATGCTCAGCACGGGTTTCGTGGNGAAGTAGCCATGCTGGACTTTTCCAAGGCCTTCGATAGAGTTCGTCACTCTCTGCTGATAGAGGAGCCGGCCATTCTGGTATTTCCCGAAACTACGATAGCTTGGGTCTCTGACTATGTGTGCAATCGAACCTTTCGAGTTCGAGTGAACGGCGTCCTCTCAGATAGGTTTGGAGCACCCAGTGGATTACCCCAGGGCTCTATCTTAGGCCCCAGACGGTTCATATTATTTGTTAACGATCTCCTTGTAGGCATACAATCAGACCTACTGATGTATGCACACAGCATTAAGATCTGCCGGGAGATTCAAAGCCCGTTAGGTAATTGCACCTTGCAAGAGAACCTAGACAGGCTTTTTACCTGGTCGGTCGCAAACGGGTTGCCATTCAACCTTGACAAATGTAAAGTTATCAACATTGCAGGGCATTGTGCAAACGACTACTTGCTGGGAAGTAGAACATTGCGGAGGGTCAAACACGAAAGGGACCCGGGCACAGTCATTACTGATGATCTGTCCCAGCAAACTAACTGCAACACACTGACCCGGAGGGCAATGTTCAAACTCAACCAACTAAGCCGAATCCTGAGGAAATTCACACCAGAGTCTTTCCCTGAGATTTTTGCTACGCTCATTCGGCCAAATTTGGAGATCAACATCCATGCGTGCCCGCCGCTGCTTAGGAGGGATGTCAACGCTATTGAGCGGGTACAGCGGAAAGCCACCAAACGAGAGCAGGGTTTGTCATGCACACCCTACCCGGATAGACTCCCTTTGCCCAAACTGTACAGCATGGAGTATAGGAGGGTAAGGGGTACTTGATCCTCCTGAGGGACGCAC